CCCCTGGGATCGCCTTGAGGAAGAATAATGCGCTTTATTACCAAATCGCCAGTCTGATACACTCGAGGTTTGATCTTTTTGTTGGAAGCCTTGATCATACATTTTTTTATACATTTGACCATGACAAATAGCAGCCAGTCTTTTCTCATCAATTAAGTTCAACTCATCCAACCTAGTCTGAATCCATTCATATTTTCCTAAGTATTCTTCTTTCATAATCCTTAAGGAAGGAATCTGAACTTCCACAGGCAGGACAACTTCCATGCCATAGACTAAAGAAAACGGAGTTGCCCCATTTGATGTTCGAGCCGAAGTACGGTGGCCATGAAGAGAAAATGGTAGCATCTCGTGCCAGTCTTTATAGGTTACTACCATCTTTTTCACAATCTTCTTTATATTTTTGTTGGCGGCTTCTACTGCGCCATTCATCTTAGGCTTGTATGGAGAAGAGTTGTGATGCTTGATTTTAAACTGCGTACAAAGTTCAGTGATCATAGCATTGTTGAGATTGGTTGCGTTACCAGTGATGATCCTTCCAGGGATGCCATACCGGCAAACGAGGTTATGCTTGATAAATCGGGCTACCACAGTCTTAGTGACTGAGGCAAATGAAGCAGCTTCAACCTATTTGGTGAAGTAGTCGATGGAAACGAGAATGAAACAATGTCCATTAGAGGCAATGGGATTGATCTCTCCAATCATGTCAATGCCCCACATTGTAAATGGCCACGGAGCAATCGTGACATTCAAAGGAATTGGAGGCACATGAACCTTGTCGATATATATTTGACACTTACGGCAAGTCCTCGAGTGATGGTGACAATCAGTTTCCATAGTCGACCAATAGTAACCAACCCTTAGAATCTTCTTGGCCATAGTGTTCCTGCTAGAGTGAGTTCCAAAGATACCTTCATGCATGTATTCCATGATTTTCTATGCCTCCTTCTTGTCCATACAATGAAGCAGAGTTGAATCATGATTGCGCTTATATAGGATCCCATTGCTTAGGAAGAATTTGGTTAAGAACCTCCGCATGAATTTCTTATCGTTTATTAAGGCTCCTTCAGGATACTCTTGTGCTTTAAGGTACCTCCTCACTTCATGATACCAAGGCTTCTCCTCATCAATGTCAATCTCATAGCAGTGCACATGTTCGTCAAATCTTTCGATTGTAATTCTAGGAGCTTTGTTGTCCCAATTGACTTTGAAAATCGATGACATAGTTGCTAAAGCATCTGCCAACTGATTTTATTCTCTTGGAAAGTATTCAAACGTGACCTCTTTGAAGTAAGGGATCAAGGTTGACACAAGTTTTTTTTAAGGGATCATATTTGGATGCTTAGTATCCCATTCTCCTTTAACTTGACTAATTACTAGAGCTGAGTCTCCGTATACGCTTAAGAATTTGATTCTTAGTTCAATGGAAACCTTAAGACCCAAGATGCATGCTTCATACTCGACCATGTGGTTTGTACAGTCGAAGCATAATATAACAGTGAAAGGTGTATGGCCACCTTCGGGGGAAATAATCATAGCACCAATTATGTTACCTAAAGCATTGGAAGCTCCGTCAAAAACCATAGTCCACCGAGATCCTTGTTCAGGTCCGTCATACGGTCCAGGCTTTTCACAATCAATCATCAGCATGATATTCTCGTCTGAGAATTCAAAGTTCATGGATTGGTAATCATCAACAGCTTGATGGGCCAAATGATCTGCTAGCACACTTCCTTTGATAGCCTTTTGTATAGTGTATTGGATATCATATTCAGTCAAGATCATTTGCCATCTAGCTATTTGTTCGGAGAGAGTTGGCTTCTCAAAGATATACTTGATAGGGTCCATCTTAGAATACAACAAAGTGGTGTGAGTCAACATATACTGTCTTAGCCGGCGAGCAGCCCTTGCCAGAGCGTAGCAAGTTTTCTCGAGCGGTGAATATCTTGTTTCACATTCGGTAAACTTTTTGCTCAGGTAGTATATTGCATGCTCTTTTCGGCCAGACTCGTCATGTTGGCCCAACAAACACCCCATTAAATTATCTAATACAATCAAGTACATAATCATAGGTCTTTCTTCATTTGGAGGCATCAGGATGGGAGGTTCTTGCAGATATTCTTTAATTTTGTCAAAGGCTGCTTGGCAGTCGTTGTTCCATCTGACTACTTGATCTTTCTTCAACAGTTTAAAGATTGGATCACAAGTAGTAGTTAGGTGAGATATGAACATGGAAATATAGTTGAGTCGACCTAAGAAACCCCTGACCTCCTTCTCAGTACAGGGAGCTGGCATTTCTTGTATGGCTTCTACTTTTGCAGGGTCGACTTTAATACCTTTTCCACTGGCGATAAACCCTAAGAGTTTTCCAGATCTTACCCCAAAGGTGCATTTGTTGGGATTCAACCTTAGCTTGTATTCTTCAACCTCTCAAACAACTTGTGAAGATGATCAAGGTGTTTCTCCTTAGTTTGAGATCTGGAAATCATATCATCAACATATACTTCTATCTCATGATGGATCATATCATGAAATAGAGCTACCATAGCTCGTTGATAGGTCGCCCCTGCATTCTTCAAACTGAAAGGAATGACCTTATAGCAGAAAGTTCCCCATAATGTGACAAAAGTGGTCTTCTCCATGTCCTCGAGAGCCATTTTGATTTGGTTGTAGCCGGAGAAATCATCCATGAAGAAGAAGACTTTATGTTGAGCAGTGTTGTCGACCAAGACATCAATATGCGGCAATGAGAAATCATCTTTGAGACTGGCCCTATTCAAATCTCTGTAGTCTACGCACATACGGACTTTCCCATCTTTCTTCGGTACCGGGACCACATTAGCCACCCATTGGGGATATGACGTCACTGCTAGAAAACCTGCATTGAATTGATTCATTACCTCAGCTTTTATCTTTTCAGACATGTTTGGCCGCATACGATGAACTTTTTGCTTGACTGGAGGACAATCTTTCTTTGTTGGTAGACGATGAACTACAATGTGAGTATCAAGTCCTGGCATATCTTCATATGACCAAGCAAACACCTCAATGTAGTCTTGTAACATCTGAACCAATATGCTTTTGACACCATCTTCCAAGTTGGCGCCGATCTTGACCTCTTTCTTGTTTGTCCCAGTACCTAGGTTGATCACTTCAACTGGTTCCTCGTAAGGTTGAATGGCCTTTTCCTCTTGCATCAGAAGTATGGCTAGTTCCCCAAGTATTTCATAATCTTCTTCGCCTTCGTCTTCGTCTTGGTAGATTGGATATTCAAAGTCATATATGGCAATGGCAAAGTCGTTGCCAATGAAATCCGGAGTAGATATGGATCTGCAAATGTGCGTGTATGCATGTAAGATCACATGGCTATTTTGAAAATGTAATAAAGTGAAAGAAAGACAATGAGTGTAAAATTTGAATGCAAAAGAGTCCAATGTTTTTTATTAAATGATCATATGACATATGAAAATGAACAAACCCTTAACAAATGGACCAGGGCGTCCCGGGCATGGCACATGGCTTAGAGTCATTGTTTCAATAAAATTACAGACATAATTCTTAAATTAATAAAATAGTAAATGGTAATTACTCCTTGTTGAAGGCGATTGGAATGAAGTCCTTGGTATGCCAGTTGTTGAGTCCTTCTTTGGAAGTCGAGTAGATCCAATCATCAAAGTCACAATCGTCTTCAGAGTCTTCAAGGGCATTCACTTCATGATTACAGATGCGAAGAGGCAGTTTTCCTATGCAAGCACGTCTAATCTCCTTTTGAGCTTTGGTAGTGAAACTCAAACCACTTATCTGATTTGAACGGAATATCAGGTTCACTATCATCAATGCATGTCGATTTGTATCAAGTAAGTACTATGTTTTGTGAATCTTCCATGTCATTCATGACTGCCCACAATGCTTTTATTTTCTCCTTATTATAATTATAATATTCCACTATCATTTGCTCTTAAGCAAGGCTCTTCACAAACATTTATTTTTCGTTTATCCAACACAAGACTTTTCATATATTTTTTTAATTTTATATAATTTACTTAATAATAATAATAATAAAAACTTCTAAATAGTTTTTCATATTCTCTTTTAATTTTATATAATAAAAATGAATTAAAGATTATAATAGAGATATAAAAATCCCGGCTCTTCTATAATTCATACTAATAATAATTAAATTTTAAAATATATTTTCATATACTTTTTTACTTTTATAAAATAAAAGTAAAGAGATTGTTTTATATCTTGTAACGATCTCTATCACTCCAACTTTCAACGTGATTTTTAAATTCTCTATACATAAAATAAAATAAATTATAAAATATTTTTTTAACATAAGAATTATATATATTTACAATAAATACTTTATTATTTAAAAAAATAATTATATATAAATTATAATTAATTCTAAAATATTTTATTTACTTAAATAAATTTTAATCCCATATATACATATTAGTACTAATTGAATTAAACATATTTAATATTAAATGAATAAATATGAACCTTTAAATTTAAAAAATAAATGAACAAGATTTAGTATTAAAATTTAGTACGACACATTAATTAGCCTTGTTTTTAATATAATTTATTTTTCTAGAAATATTTAATATATTAATAAGTCTTGTTTTTAGCCCTTTGAGAGTTAAATTCAAAATGGCTAGTTAGTATTGAAACGAGAGCAAATAGTTAAAACTATTAATGTAATGCCAAGAATAGTCAAGAATAGATTAATAACAATAGGACATTACAACTATTTCATCCTTCTATGATGAGGCCACACAAATTAAATTTATTAAAGTAGTAAATAATTCGATTCACTTTATTTAAAAAAAATTGAATTCCTTATTTGAGTCAAAAAGAAATATTAATGTGTGTTCAATTCTTTATTTAAGTCAAAAAGAAATATTAATGTGCCACTTTTCAAGGCTTTGAGAGTAAGTATATAAAATGCTACTTATGGCTGAAACAAGAGCAAATCAGAAAACTTAAAAGAAGAGATGAATAAGATGAGTTATTCTTGTTTTGTCATGGTGATTTTTATTTTATGTGTTTCATCCTCGTATGGAGCTAAAGTAGTAGACGTTGATACTATTTGTAAGGGAGTGATAAATTATACATATTGTTCAAATCTTCTCAATTCAAAACCAGGAGAAAGTCGAGATCTCATTAGCTTTGCAGAATACGGCATTGAAGTCGCCCGTGTCAATGTGACCAACACAATCAATTTAATCAGAACACTAATTGTGAAAAGTGGTAGTAATGTTGAGGCAAAACGACATTACAAAATGTGTTTATATCATTTCGACGAAGAAGGTGTCCTTAATTTAGTTGATGAAGCACTACGATATTTTAAGAAAGGAAATTACGATTCCGCAAGGCAAAGTGTAGGTGCTATACAAGCTCATACTAGAGATTGTGTTTCGGGAGAGTCACCTGGTGAAACTCCTTATCCTGATACATCACAACTTCCAAAATATGCTCATGTTGTCACTCAAATTTCTGAGATTCTTGGACATATATTTCATTTTATAATTCATGCATAACTAATTGTAGGCTCATCCCTAATAGTGGAATTGTGGCTTTATCAATAAATGAGTTCTTTGAACACTATTATGTTTTGTTTTCATCTTGATTTTGAATTGCTGTAGTTAAATGCAAGGAATGGGTACTTTTAGTCTCTTTTCATAAATATTTAACTTTATAATTTTGCTTGTACAGAATAACTTAACAGCTAAAGTTTTTTTTTTTTGAAATTTATTTAATTTTGTATATTTTTTCTATATCAAAAATAATATTGAGAGTGAGATCAAAGGACGAGATATTGAGAGTGAGATAATGACATGAAAATTAAAATTGAAAATTTTAACAATTTTGTAGAAATAAAATATAAAAATAAAAATAAAAATAAACGAATGAAAGTATAGTTTAAGAATTATGTGTCATATTTAAATTTATCCAGACACTTTACCTTCACATATTTTAGATTTATCTTATTTTTGTACCATAAGTATCATTAGTACTTTCATTGTTATTAATCATTTTTAATTAGTATTTGTAACTTATTGTTATGTATATTCTATATTTTTAGTTGCACGTATCCAATCAAGAGTAAACAGTCAAGTTGCACAAAATCAAAATTTTTTATTCTATCAAAAGAAATCTTATCAGTATCCTAAATAAGCAAGTGTAAAATTCAAGCTTCCCAAATTGTTTCTGTTAGTTGGTTAATTCTTGTTATGTAGTTATTTGTATTTTTAGCATATATTTGAGTCTGAACATTTTTGCCTATATAAATGGCCATTATGTTTTTAGAGTAGCAACAATAATACATTCAATTACAGAGTTAGTTACACTTAACTAACTCAAAATCATTCTCTCTCTCTTCTCTTCTTCTTCTTGTTTTCATAAATCTTCTTTCTTGAATCCTTTGTTCCAACAAATTGGTATCAAGAGTTTGTTTGCGATTCAGAGAAAATCGGATCAACAACATAGTTTCCAGCGAATCTAACGGTTTTCAAAGGTGAAAACTATCAACGGTGGGTGGCACAAATGAAGGTTATTTATCTTAAGTGATGAAATATCACAACTGGATGTAGATGCTACGGAAGTCCAGAAAGCCGCGCACAAAGATCAGAAGAAGAAAGATGGCAAGGCGCTGTTCTTGATTCACCAGTGTGTGGATTGTGATGTATTTGAGAAGATAATTGAAGAAGAAACAACAAAAGGAGCTTGGGAAAAGCTGAAATCCTTGTATGGTGGAGATGAAAAACTGAAGAAGGTGAAGTTGCAGACTCTGAGAAAGCAGTACGAGATGCTTCAGATGAAAGAGGATGAATCTATTTCTGCATATTTCTCAAGGGTGGTGACGCTAACAAACCAGATGAAGGCGTGTGGTGAAACGCTTACGGATCTTCAAAAGATAGAAAAGGTATTGAGATCTTTAATCGCAGATTTTGATTACTTTGTTGTAACAATTGAAGAGACCAAGAATCTATCTGAGATGAAGTTGGCAGAACTTCAAGCTTCATTGTAGGCTCACGAAATGAGGTTGCAGCAGAGAAATCAGAAAGAGAGAAGACAGTTGAACAAGAATTCCAATCAAGATTCAGCAAGAAAGCTGGAAAAGAGAAGTCGAAGCAGCGAAAGAATCTTGCTGGTGATGAGAAGTCAAGCAAGAATATTGATTTGAAAGGTGTGGGTAACAAGTATTACGGGAAGAAAGTTGACACGAAAGAGGTGCAATGTTATAATTGTCAAGGTTTTGGCCACTATGCTAGAGACTGTCGAAGAAAGAAAGCTGCAAGGTCGAAAGATAGTGATGAAGCTCAATATGCACGAGCTGGAGATAATGATTCTGATGATGTGTTGTTGCTAGTGAACGCTCAGTCGACTATTGAGAAAAATAGCATGTGGTATATGGATTCAAGATGTAGCAACCACATGACTGGCAATAAAAACTTGTTTACCAAGTTAGATGAGTCAATCGAAAAGGTGATAAAGTTTGCAGATGGTAGGCATATCAAATCAGGTGGTAAAGGAGATATTTAGATTATCAGAAAGGATGGTCGAAAGGATACTATCACTGAAGTTCTATATGTACCTTCGATGACAAGTAACTTGATAAGTGTAGGTCAATTACTTGCAAAAGGTTTCAATATGAAGTTGGAGAATAATCAGATGAAGGTATATAGAGCTGATGGAAGGCTAATAATGAAAGCACAATTGGCGGAGAACAAAACGTTCAAGGTTTAACTCAACACATCAGATCACAAATGTCTTGCTTCAACTACAGAAGAAGACAAGAACTGGCTATGGCATCACAGGTATGGACATCTAAACTTCAAGAGTTTATGTATGCTCAATAATAAATGAATGGTGCTTGGATTGTCGTATGTGAATGAACCAAAGCAGATATGTGAGGAATTCTGCAAAGTTAAACAGGATAGGAAGGCATTCAAACAGGACTTGCCTATAAGATCAAGGCAAAAACTGGAGCTGGTTCATTCAGATGTGTGTGGATCCTTTGAAGTTAAGTCTAATGGAGGTAACATGTATTTCCTTACTTTCATTGATGAATTCACCAGAAATATGTGGACCTACCTGGTTTAAAAGAAAAGTGAGATATTCACACAGTTCAAGAAGTTCAATTTGCATGCTGAGAAACAAAGATGCTGCAAATTGAAGAAGTTAAGAACTGATGGTGGTGGTGAATATACTTCTGCTGAACTTGCTAGATTTTGTAATGAGGAAGGTATAGAGCATGTGGTTATTTCATCCTATACGTCTCAGCATAATGACATAGCTGAGAGAAAGAATAAGTGTACTGAACATGACGAGGTGTATGTTGAAAGCTAAGAATATGCCTAAGATATTTTTGGCTGAAGTTGCTTCGACAGCAGTATACATTCTAAATAGATTCCCAATGAAGAAGATTGTAGAAAAGACACCGCATGAGGCTTGGACAGGGTCGAAGCTAAATGTAAGTCATCTTAGAGTTTTTGGATCAATGTGTTTCAGGCATGTACCTGAACAATTGAGAAAGAAGCTGGATGATCATAGTGAAGTCATGATGCTCATAGGTTATCATTCGACTGGTGCATACAAGTTGTATTTATCAATAGAAGATAAACTAGTGATCAATAGAGATGTTCTTGTAGACGAAAGATAAGGATGGGATTGGAGTCGAAGTTCAGTTTGATAAGAATCAGACACAGTCATAACTGTGTTTGAAGAAGATGAACAAAATGAAGCTTCGACAAGTCGAAATGAAGAACCACCTGTGCAAAATGAAAGAAGATCTACAAGAACAAGAACTGAGTCGACTAGGCTGCTTGGATATGAGAGGTTTCTAGATCAAGAAATCGATGCAGATGGTGACTTAATCAAAGAAGACATGATGATGGCTAAAGTAGAACCAATTGATTTGGGTGAAGCCTTAAGAAATTCAAACTGGTGTGAAGCCATGAAATAAGAACTTAGATCCATTGAGAAGAACAAGACTTGGGAGCTTGTCAAAACAACCAACAAGAAACCAATCGATGTGAAATGGATCTACAAGGTGAAACAAAGGCCAAATGGTGATATTTCAAAGTATAAGGCAAGACTGGTGGCCAGAGGTTTTCTACAAAAACCTGGTATTGACTTCGATGAAGTATATGCGCCTGTTCCAAGGATCGAAACAATCAGGATTGTTGTTTCGATAGCTGCATGTAGAGGATGAAAAATGCACCAACTTGATGTAAAGTCAGCATTTTTGAATGGTCCATTGGAAGAATACGTTTACGTTACTCAACCACAAGGTTTCGACGTCAAAGAGAAGGAGTCAAAAGTTTACAGATTAAGGAAGGCTCTCTATGGCTTGAAGTAAGCTCCTAGAGCTTGGAATAAACGAATAGATAGCTTCCTAATAGAAGCAGGTTTCACAAAGTATGTCTCTGAACATGGAGTGTATGTAAATGATGTCAAAAGTGTCAATCGAATCATTTTATGTCTTTATGTTGATGACTTACTCATTACCGGAGCAGACGAAGCTGAGATAATGAAGATAAAGTCGAAGTTAATGCAAGAATTCAAAATGTCTGATTTAGGGAATCTGTTCTATTTCCCAGGAATGGAATTTAAAGAGATCTAAGAAGGAGTTTTCTTGCATCAAATGAAGTATGCTCAAGATATACTGAAGAGGTTCAATATGAGCAACTATAAGGCAATTGTTACTCCATTATAGACTAGAGCAAATATGAAAAAGCTATCAAATGATGAGTTTTTAAGTTCGACCCTTTACAAAAAAATCATTGGATCCTTGAGGTATCTTTGCAATAATAGACCAGATATATGTCAAAGTGTAGGATTGTTGAGTAGATTTATGGAGAAGCCTCAAGAATGTCATCTCATTGCAGTAACGAGGGTGTTGAGATACATAAAGGGACCTATTGATCATGGTGTGTTGTTACCAAAGAAATCGAAGAACAACTCAGATGTCGAAGTTCATGGATACACTGAATCAGACTTCAGTGGAGATCAAGACGAAAATAAGAGTACTGCAGGATACATTTTCATGATCAAAAGAGCTCCAATCTCCTGGAGTTCGAGGAAGCAAAGCATTGTGGCTTTGTCATCATGCGAAGCAGAATATGTGGCTGCATCATATTCTGGATGCCAAGCAGCATGGATCAAAATGCTACTTGAGGAAATTAGAATAATGGAATCAAAGATGAAGTTGTTTGTTGATAACAAGTCAGATATAAACCTTACAAATCACCCAGTGTGTCATGGTCGAAGTAAGCATATTGAAAGAAGGTATCATTTTCTGAGGGATCAAGTCAACAAAGGGAAGCTTGAAATAAAACATTGCAAGATTGAAGTGCAACTAGCTGACATATTCACTAAACCTCTGAAGAAAGTGAGGTTCGAAGAGTTAAAGAAAGACATCGGGATGAGAAGTCTTGATAACATGAATTAGGGGGTGTGTTAGTTGGTTAATTCTTGTTATGTAGTTATTTAGACTTTTAGCATGTATTTGGGCTTGGGCATTTTTACCTATATA